TTCACCATTCCTCTAATGTGCCCATAATGCTTTGGTGAAAAGTGCCACCTCCCCATCAGTTTTAGCTGTAAGGTTTTAAGGTTTTTCATGGAATGTTGTGTTTGTGTACTACTTATCACTGAATGCTTAAATGGAGGCTGCTTTTCTCTAATTCAGGAAGATGAAACGTACAGGGCATACACACGCATGGATGGCCCCTCCCGCTTGGCCGACGCCCTGCACTGGTTGTGGCTCCTTCCCAGAGCCCAGGCCTGCCTGCAGTGCGGGCCTGTTTCCTCCTCCTAGCTCACCAGTGCTTTCTGGTCTCTCCTCATCACCAGTTTTTCCCTGGAGACCAAGTCATTTCCGTCAGCAAGTATACAGATGAGCTATCATTCCTCTCATCTTAACTAAAAAGGAAATTTCCCCTGACCCCCTGCCCCCTCCAGTGACAGTCTATTTCTAGAAGGCAGTGTCTCTTCTCACTGTCTTCCTTCTCTCTCCCTTTGTTGTCCCCTGACTCCCTTCAGACTGTCACACCCCCTCTCCGAAAAGGACCCCCCTTGCCAAATCCAGTCCCCACTCATGTGTCCCCTCAGGTGATCATGCAGGTGATCCCGCTATCCTCTGAGAGCACCTTCTTTGTTTGCCTTCCAGGACTTCACTCTCCGGGCTCTCTCCTCACAGGGCACTGGCCTTGTGCCCGGGACCCCCACCACCCCTCCTCTGCCGGCTGCTCCTCACCCCTGACCCCTGAAGCTGCGGGGCCCAGGGCTCAGTGCTTGCTTCCTTCGTCTACACTCATTCCTTTGGTGAACTCATAGTCTCATGGCTTTACAGATCATATTCCTTCTAATGTAAGATGCCCTCAGTCATGTGTGCCGGGGAATTCACATTCCCCTGAGGAAAGGAAAACACAGCCACTGAAGCTCTTACTTCCCATCATTTCGGCCCTTTGTTCCCAGAGTCCCTGAGGCTCGGGTGCATCCGGATGCTGTCCTGCCCCAAACTCCCTCATGGTCCGGAGCAGGTTCACTCTTTGCCCGCTGCTCCTCCCTCCATCTCTTTGTGACATCCTGTGGGTCCTTATATGGTCTCGGGGAGGTCTTACCTGGTACTGTGGCCAGCCCTGCCCCATATACTCCTGGGGCTGTGCGGTGCACACCTGCACAACTGTATATTGTTACCTGTCTTCACCCACTCTTCCAATTCCCTCCCTCACTCCCTCCCTCCTTTCTATCCTTCCTCCTCCTTCCCTCCCTCCTCCTTCCCGCTTCCCTCCTCTCTCTCTCTCTCTCTCTCTCTCTCTCTCTCTCTCTCTCTCTCGCGGGCGCGCGCGTGTGCGCGCGCTCTCGCTCTCACTCTCGCTCTCGCTCTCGCTCTCGCTCTCGCTCTCGCTCTTGCTCTCTCTCTGATTTTCTAGACTTTGGAAGCTTGTAAGCCTGACTGAGTCTCCTTAGCTCACTGCAGTCGTCCCTGTCCTTCCTGAGGCAAAGGCCTCTGAGCAAGTCACTATGGCTCTGTGGCTACAGAGGCCGTGCCAGTGCCCGATTGCAATAGGCGTGGGAGCCCCAAGAGCCATGATGGCCAAGGCTGGCATTGCTTTGCTCCATTAAATCTCTTCCTGGGTGTGGGGTGGAGTCCATCCCAACCAAACATCCTGCGGCTTCCAAGGCTCAGTGGAGTGGCAGGTGTGTGTGGGGGAGTGAGAGGGGCCTGCACCAGGGCCACAAGCAGGAGGGTGTCTGCAGACGGGAGAGACCTGAGCCCATGCCTAGGCCTTGCTTAGTCAGGAGAAGGTTAACCATGTTGGAGGGAATGGGCCTTTACTTGATTAGGAGCAAAATCCTAGAAAGAAGTGAGGTGAAAGGGGGAGGGGCTGGGTCTGACATATAGGATGGACCTCCTCCCGGGAGGGGGGGTGGTGGAGAGACCTACTGGCTCCAGTGAAGGAGGGGCCCTAAGGTGCTTTCTGAAGCCTCGTGGCCCAGGAGGAGGAGCCCTGGCTCTGGGAGCACTGGTGTCGCGCGCCAATGAGATGTGCCAATGGGTAACTCTAAGGGAATTTATGAGAATTGTTATGGTCCCAAGGGATAGGTCACATCAAGGCTAGGATCTTTATTTCTCAAGCGAATAGAAAGCCCCTCCACTTTATATACGTCTGCAGAGTTGAGAGGGCGCTTTGTGAAGTAAGGGGATGTGTGAGCAGAGGTTTCAAAAAGTCCTTGGTGAGATTCCACGTGGCCTGGTGGCTGGGAATGTGGGCTCTGCCTCCAGGTGGCCGGAGACGCATGAGGCTCTGCAGCCTCCGGCCAGCCCTGGCCTCTCTGAGCTTTGGCCTCTCTGAGCCTCGACTTCTCTGCTGGGAAGTGGAGGTGATGTCACTCCTTCTCACAGGCAGGCAGAGGACCAGAGGTCCTCAGCCCTGCAGCGTTAGGGTGCTGGCCGCACATGCACAGCAGCTGAGGCGTGACCCATCGGCTTCTGTAAGAATGTGTGATGTGCTAGGGTGTGTCTTTAGGAGTGAAACTTGCTTATTTTCTTAATTCAATGAATTCTACATTTTTTTACAGTGTTTTTGTTTTTTGTTTTTCCCATTGGCAAAGGAACCTGCAGATGTTTAAAAAGTGTTTCCACTTTAAAATAGCATCATTACTTTCTGGCAGAACATGCAGGAGTGAGCAGGCTTAAAGTGAATGCACTCTGGAACATTCCGTGTGAGGTCCCGGAGGTTTGACTATATTGGGGACAACCTCCTCCATCTCACGCTAATGTCCTCTGCCTCTCCTGCCCCCAATGAGAGGAGCTCTGGGTAGGCGGTCCGTTGGGGCTCAGACCCAGCCTTGGGGCTGACACTGTAGGATGGAGCCCGTTCCCCTGACCTTCCTCGGTGGTGGTTCAAATTGCCGCTTTGGGAGGAGGCCCAGTTTCATGCCTTAGGCCTTGCCCTGGAATGTTCTGGAAAACTCCCTGCAGCAGCTTGCTGTGGAAGAAACCGCTGATAGAGAGATAAGACTATGGCTGGGCGTTTCCAGTGGGAGGATATGGCTGCCACTTAGAGCCTACATTTCCCAACTGTTTCAAAATTTCATAATTCGTTCCTAGTGGTCGTTAAAATGAATGCTTGTTGAGTTCCTCCAGAGATTAATAAATGGACAGTGCGAGTCTTCATAAATAAAGGCTGACTTTCCACACACAGGACTGAAGTAGCACACCTACCCGCATCCAGTGGCCCCTGCAGGTGCTGGCACCACTGGACCCGCTGCCTAACCGTAATCCTCTGCTGCTCGGGGTGGGGGTGGGGAGCCACTCCCCACAGCCACGCCCACTGGTCCCTCGAGGAAGCACACTGCAATGAGTTGTGCAACAGATATGTCTACATTCCAGAAAAGCCAATATGTTCTACTCTCCTGGAAACCCCCCCAAAAATTTTTGCAAAAAATAAGACTATTTGGCCATTTAATTCATTTAATACAACTTTTACAGGGAACTTAAAGTACTTAGTATTGTCTTACAGAGAATGCACTGATTCTCCTGTTATAAGAACTGGGATACCCAACAGTAAACATGTATTTTTTTTTCCTACAATGAACCCAGCCATAAGTGAAGACAGGCCTACTGACCATTCTAGGGGGAAGGCCGCTGCACACACACACGTGTGCCCCTCCACACCCTAACCTCCTTATCTGCTCTCTGTGCTGGAAGAGTGTCAGAATGGCCCACACAGCACAGGCACTAAGTCCAGAGGTTCTGCGTGTGTCACCCTCCAGAAACCCTGACCGGCCTGAGGCAGGCACAGCTGCTCTGCTGGCTTCTCAGAGAATGTGGGCACCCATGGATACTCCTCATAATTCACAAATATGGGAGGCTGCCTCACTGGGATCCTTCCTAAGACAACTGGGAGGGAGTGGCTACTCAGTTTGCAGGAAAAATATTCATCAATGATGTTTAAAAGTTCAGTTGTTATACCTTTTAATATTTAAATATAGCATATTCTTGAAGTCTGAAAGATGGGTAGAAAGTATCTGGTAAGCCACTTGGTGCTGAAAACAGGGCACACACCCTCTTAATAAACAGCTGTCGATCCTAATAAAGAAGGTACCTACTAAGAAGGGCTTCTGGTGGCGAACTGGGCTCAAATTCAAAAGCAACCCAGCAGCTATTTCTAAACTGGGGCCTGACATGCAAGCCACACTCAGCGAGAAGCCTGCACTGACCTGCCCGCCTCACTGTGTCCTGTCTTCCGAGCCGGCCCTCAGAAGGAGTTCTTGAGATCCTATTTCATCCAATAGGACTGAGTCTTCCCCCGTCCAGTGGGATCTGTGCAGCCATATTCCCATCAGCATCTTCACTGGTCAATTATAGCTGCTATATTCTGACCAATCAGGACAGTGCTTTTTGGACCAATCAAACATCAAGGCTCTGGAATCCTCATTTGCATGAAGACAGATATTCTGGGACCAGGGGTGGGGACATCTGTCTCTATAAGCCATGTCAGCTCTCTTCTGGCTTAGACAGCACACTTTCTCTGTTCACCAAAGACTGGAGACTGAGTTTCCCCGTAGTGGACCAAAGCATAAGAGAGCAGCCTGGCCAGAGGGCCACCTCCCACAGGCCCACCTACCACAGGGCCACCCCCCACAGGGCCACCTCCCACAGGCCACCTCCCACAGGCCCACCTACCACAGAGCCACCCCCCACAGGGCCACCTACCACAGGGCCACCCCCACAGGGCACCACAGCGGTGCTGTTTCATCACTGAGCTGCAACGCCATTGAGCTGGTCCACAATTAAGGTATTTGCATTGAATGTATTTCCTTCTTCACTGCACCCCACATTAAGAGTTCCTGTTGGCGCTGAATGGTACTAAAGACCATCCATGGAAGCAGCATGGAAGAGATCACGATCTGTAAATTCCATATCGATTAATCGCGTCAGAGGAAGATGTGCAGAAGGAAGCAGTAAGCCCAACTTGAAAGAGAAAGACACTATCCCACGCCTCTCCCTCCCTGAAATGCCCTGAGAAGCACAAGTGTTTCCTACATGGGCTTTGTGGTGCGTTACACAATGTCAGTTTATGTTTGAAATTCAAATGCTCATGAGAGTCGGATCCTTTTTCAGTTGTTCTCAACGGTCCCAAATAAAGCTGCACCCCTGGGGCAACATGTGAGCCTGGGTCTCACGGGGCCAGGAAGGCTGTCCTTCCAGGAAGGGCTGCACAGAGCCTGGGAACGGCCAGCCAGCTCACAAGAATGAAGAGAATGTCGGGAGAGGAAGTGGTGGCTGTGAGTCAGCATGAGTCACCTCGTTCCAATGAGAATGAAGACTGAGGTTTGTGCCTCTTTTTTTTCTCTCTCTCTTTTTTTTTTTTGGCTCAATCATACGGGCATCATTGGGATTGGAGGGAAATGAGTGACTGGATGGCCGTTGCTTTTTAAGTTTCAAACCGATTTTCCAGGCGGGCTGGGCCTGAGCCGGTGTCTGTCTCCTGGTCATTGCTGCCTGCTCCTGGAAGGTGGAGCCACCAGCTTCTCCCTGGTGAGTATGCTTCTGTCATTTTTATCACCAGTTCTGCCGGAGGGTCGCTGCTGTGGCAAAGCTGCCGGCGTTTAGAGTGTTCAATGTGTTTCATTCAAACTTTGAGGAGCCCGAGTTTTAGAGAAGTGGCTGCTTCTGTCCCCACCCCCATCGCTACTGTATTTAGGCTGGTTGTGGGGGAAGTTTCTGAGGTGGCTGTTGTGAGAACGTGGATGCTAATCATATCTATAGTGTGTCGGCTTGGAAGAGACAGTGATGCTTGCCTGGAAGAGAAGCTGTTGGAGATCTTGTGTGAGTCACGGGGGAAGCTTAGAAAGGGAGGTGGGGGTCTGTGCTGGCCTGGGGTGCTGAGGTCGGGCGCTTCCGCCTCTCTGAGCTGGAGGAAACTGCCTTGAGCAATTTTTGGCCGCATGGTCTGAGCTGCAGGAACTACCAGGGAGAGGCAGAATTTTGGCTTCCCTCTCCAAAGGCGTATGAATGATTCTGCGAACTTACTGTACGTCTTTTCCTTTCCCCTTAACACTGAACCTCACCAACTGTAGCGGAATCAGAAAGAAAAGCTGCTGGCGGCTGGAGCAGGGGTGAGGACATGGTAGCTGAGCTGTGAAGGCCTGAGCTGGCCTTGATGTGTGTGTTTCTCAAACTGTTACTATTCCGATCAGGCTTAGTTTGACTGTCAAGTAAAATCCGGGAAATATGTATTTATTTACACGTCGTTCTGATTACTGTAAATGAAATCGGTTTAAATGTCATAAAGACCTCATGATAAACAATTTTGAATTTGCTTAAAAAGCTGCACATCAGAGAGTAGAGGATGACAGCACTTTTTCAGTACAGTCATTTGAGTGCCTGGGCTTTCTGGGTTAATAATGAGTCAGCACCCAGCTTCTAACCTCGGAGCAGCTAAGAAGAGGTTTGAGCACCCCCAGCACAGCAAACTAGCTGGCTGCCCCCTCCAGGAGGATCTGGCTGTTGGGCCTTTGGGTTAAAATCAACTGTGGACACCTCCCCTGTTTGGGTCCCCTTCCCTCCCCCCCCCCCCCCCCCCCCCCCCCCGCTTCCCCCTGCTCCCAGCTTTTTAGTCCTTCCTCTTCTGTGTGCCACTGAGAGGCCCCTTTGCTAACAGTCCCCAGGCCAGGCAGGACCAGCTCCTCTAGCCCATGGTGGTGAGTATACAGTTTGTTAAAGAAAAAATGCAGAGCTTATGACAGGCTGCTTATGTGGCTCAGGGCTGAAGCTGCATCTGGTGTCCTGTGATGTCACATCCACTGAGGGAGGGGCCAAGTGAGAGGCGCTCAGGGCTTGAGCTTCTAGCTGGCAGCTCTTGCATGTGTGTGTAGAGTGGAAGATTGCCCATTGGAAATCAGAGAGCAGGATTACCTTCCTCAAACCTTACTCTTCTCCATAATGTGAGAGAAGTGTCAAGGAAACTAAAAATAAAATAAGATAAAATAGCTGGGTTTTGCAGGCACGCAGCTCAGGGCCAAATGCAGTCCTGTTTGAATGTGTCCTGTTATCGAGTTCGGTTGGACGCACCCAGGACTGGGTTTTGTGCTTGGATGACTATGGGTTGAGTCCCAAGTCCCTCTGCCCTGCCTGTGAAGGGTGGCTGCCACCCTGAGGTGGTGCCTCAGAGCTCCCCACACGAGCACTTTCTCTTGTCCCCACTTCAGAGATTGCCTGTGTTGGGTGCGTGTTGATGCCCAGGTTCCGTGTCCTCATATTCTCCCAGGTAAATGCTATTGGGCAGTGGCTTGAGGTGCTGACTTTATCCTAGACATTGAGTGTCTTCCTTCATGTAGAATTTGGGCTGTTGTATGGAGGCTGGGGGTTGACTCAGCTTTTACCCATGAGAAAGAAGCCTATGGTTAACTGATATTATTACTTTTGTAATCAGGAGGGAGAGTTAATGTAAAAGGTCAGAAATAAGGCCATGAGCATGTCTGAAAATAGAGCATTTATTATATAATCTGCTTTGTCATTTTCCCAACTATCGAGAAGAGTCAATTCTGAATGTGGATGGGCAGCAAGGGAAGAGGAGAGCATTCTGAAAGAAATTGAGCAGATACTTACAGGACATTTTTGCAGAAAGAAAGCACTAACAGTTTGACCATATCTGGAAGTTGCCCAGAGCCCTGTGGTCAGGCACCCTCAGCCTAGGAACTATCTTCTGGCTTGCTGATTCTATCTTCATTCTACCCTCACCAGCACCTGACTTCCTGCTGGTAGGCTTCCATGGTACCTGACGACAGGTGTCTCCACCACTGCTGCCTTGTGGTGAGCTCACCCTTATGTTGAACAAGTTACTTAACTTCTTGGTGTCCCACCTTTCTCATGGTGAAATGTGAATGGTGATGGTATCTGCTTTGGGGATTCCTGTGATGATCATGATGATTGCTTTTCACAGGGGTGGGGAACATCTGGCCCATGGGCCATAGAAGGCCCAAGAAATCATTTGGTCTGGCCCTACGAAGGCATTAGGAGTGAGTTAATGAAATGTTTGGCGAAATACAGCAGGCTAATTTTTAAGTAGATAGTTTTGTATGGCTCACGAATGATGTTATAAATATCCAAATGGCCCTTGGCAGAAAAAAAGATTCTCCACCCCTGGTTTAGCACATGAGTTACAGGAGCTTTAATAACTGTGAAGTGCACATTCACTGACTCAGAAATATAACAAATACATTTGTACTTCTACCTGGGCTCTGCCCTGCAGGCATCCATAAGAATTAGCTCTCATGCCCCTGACATAGAGTCCTTTTGTGTCATCAATTCCAGGGAGTGTTCTGCCTTTGCAACACATTTACTGATCCAGTAAATGGGGAATGCTTCTTGGCTCTTTCCTGGGGTTCCAGATGTCAGGATAGTCATCACCATTACATCATCCTCACAATCACCATCATCATCATCATTATTACCATCACCACCATCATCATCACCATCACTGTCATCAGCAATATCCTTACAATAAGAACAGCTCCATTTTTTTTAAATATATTTTATTTGATTTTTTACAGAGAGGAAGGGAGAGAGATAGAGAGCTAGAAACATCGATGAGAGAGAAACATTGACCAGCTGCCTCTTGCACACCCCTTACTGGGGATGTGCCCACAACCAATGTACATGCCCTTGACCGGAATCGAACCTGGGACCTTTCAGTCTGAAGACCGACGCTCTACCACTGAGCCAAACCGGTTTCGGCTGAACAGCTCCAATTTTATTCAGCTCAACTGCATTACAGTAAATTTCTGTGACTACCTTTACCTCCCAACACACACACACACACACATATCCTGGACAAGAGGAAGGGGGGATAACAGTTACTCAACTCCCTTGAAGTCCAGGATTCCCAGGCAAGTGTATCAGGCAGAGCAACTTTTTCAAAGATGCATCAGGGTGGGCATGGCCCTCACCCTCAGCATGGGAGTGGAGTCAGAGAAGCCGGGGAGGGGAGTTCTGGGTGTGATTCAGCAGACTGAGGCCATAGGCCAAACAATGAGGACCGGAGCCTCAAGCCTGCCCCCAGGGCGGAAGCAGTACTCATGCTTCCTGTCTAAAGCCAGCTACAGTCAACTTCTGGTTATTTGAAAATCATCACCGTTCATGGAGCTGACTCATATTGAAAATATTAAATAAGACACTTCAAACTAAAACCACAGTGCACAGAACTTGGCCTTTCCTTGCCAGTTCATGAAGTGCCTTGGAGCCAAATCAACACACTCATTCTGCTCAGCTGCCCTCCCTGGTGTTGACCCAGCAAAGGAAGGCAGCCGGCACTTCACACCTCTCCTTCGGAGACTTTGGGAGTGGAGTGCCAAGCCTCGCCATGATGTGTGGGTCAGTTGTAACCGGTGCTCACATGGGGGGACTTTTCCCCTGTGCCACAACCCAGAGGGTCCTCTCTGCCACAAGCAGTGGGTGGGCAGTGGCGGGCTCAGCCCAGGGCTCCTCATTGGTGTGGGAGAGTTCTGGTTAGACCACAGAGCCAGGAAAGGGAAGTCAACCCAGGTCGGAAGGAAGTAGGACACCGGACAAGGAGCCAGAAGCAGGCGTGGCTGGTCTCAGAAGATTCCTCTGATTTTTTTTTTTTTTAATCCTCAGCTGTGGATATGCTTTTATTGATTTTTAGAGAGTGATAAAATGGGGGGTGGAGTGGGAAGAGAAGCATCGATGTAAGAAAGAAACATCTATCCTTTGCCCCCCAAATAGAGATTGAACCCTAAACCTAGGTATGTGCCCAGACCAGGAATCAAACCTGCAACTTCTCGGATAATGTTCCACCCAACTGAGCCACCAGCTAGGGCTTTTTTAAAATGGGTTTTATTGCACCTTGTATAGTTGGAAAAGCTACCGTATTTTCTGGTGTATAAGACGACTTTTGAAACTAGTAAAAAGCCTGCTCAGATTGGCCAGAGTCAGAGAGGCAGTCTATTAAAAAAAGAATTGGTGTTGTCTCGGAAGTGGGGGGTAGTCTTATACAGCGAATATAGGCCTAAACCTATGTTTTAACTGTAAAATTAAGGGATCGTCTTATAGGCCTGTAATGACTATGGCCAATCTCATCCATTCCCTGCTTATCTTTTGCTTTCAGGATTGACCATCCTGCGGGTGAGGGCTTCTGCCACAGACTTCCAGCCCTGTCCTTTAAAAAATGTATTGTACTGAAAGTGTTGGAATTTTTAATGAGGTTAGGAACGTACCGTTTTAGCTGTTCTCAATGGACAAATAATACAGAGTGCGAGGGATGCAGCCATAATTCGGCTAGATATAAATAAAAGCTAAAAAACAGCAGTGTTTCCAATCAGTGTCAGCTTTACTTTCTTTCAGACGGAAAAGATAGAAGGCAGACTGCCCAGGGCGAGGGTCCATAGGCAGCCCGTCACCCATCTCCCTGCTCTGCCGTCTTAGCATCCGCCTCTTTCCTCAGAGTTGTCTATGGCTTTAAGAAAGTGCTGGGGCTTTGGCCATCACCACTGCATCCATACAGAGGGGAAGGGCCC